TGAGGAGCCATTGAGCTGTTTCTTATTTCTTGTTTGCTCCTCTGGCTGGACTCTGGCCCTGTGAAGGACTGGATGCCTGACACCAGGGTGCCAGGCTGACTCAGGGTGACCCAGCACCTCTGGGCTCCTACGGTGAGATCTTTTGAGGACCAGCAGTGTTTGGGGTCAGGTACACATGGGGTCATTTGTGGCCATAACGTCCTGGTCTTGAGGCCTTCACACAGATGCACCTGATCTGTTATTCCTGAACTAGAGAATAAGGTGGGGAATGTGGAAGAAATAAAACTTGAAATGTGTTGAGTCAAGATTCTTTTTAGACCCCATGAAACCTGAACTTCCCCTGGAGGACTTGGGGTCACTCCCCAGGGGGGCACTTGGGGAGGAGTTAGGTCCAATGGGCTCTGTGTCCTGATGTGCACCCTCCTTCTCCTTCCTAAGCTCTGGAAACTCACTCTGAGGGTGACCAGTCGGGGTGGCCAATACTGTTGGGGCAATATGAGCTCAAAGGGAAAACTCGAGGAAGCAGCGATGAATCTTAGATGGCTGATGAGTAGAAGAAAAGCTGCTAACCTGACCAGGAATAAGATACACAGGGAGGTCCTGCTTCCTGTCCAATCATACTGAACTTAGAACATCAGATAATGGCAAGCTTTGGCTAAGATGTGGGGAAGTGAGCCCTTGTGTTCTGCTGGTGTGAGAGAAGTCTTAGACTGCATGCAGCATGGGACCAGTGATCCTCCTCCCAGATCTGCTCTGAGAGACATGCCAACGTGGTGGGGAGTGGGTAAGTAAACTGCAGCCATGCCATGGGCACCATGCAGCAGTGGATGCCATTGCTGAGCATAGGTAACCACTGCAAGTGGTCTGAGAACCAGGGGTAAGTGCAAAAGTCAAGGACAGGAATGAAATTTGTGGTACAATTTCATTTATGTAAATTACAACGCAAACTTTCAAAAGACAGATTGGAGGAAGCCTCCACATTCCAGGAAGTCCCTCCGTGTAGGGGAGTAGACGCCTCTAGCAGGAAGGAGGATGGAGGGCAGGGTTGGGGACAAAGGAAAGTAGAGGCAAACACCAAGGCAGTGTCTCAGCCTGGGTTCCCTAGAAAGCAGAGCCTGAGGCAAGGATTACAAACTAATGCTTTATTGGGAAGATGACTGGAAAGACTGAAGGGGAGCCTGGGCAGAAATGCCCTGTGCAGGGTTGCATTGTTGGTGTTTGACAGCACCTCATCTGTGAGTCTGGATGTGGTGGGAGGAGCCAGAAACTCTGGGAGTGTGACCTGTTGGAGGTAAGCATTGGAATCACAGTGTGGTTGGATGCACTGGTGTCCAAGGGGTCAGGAGTTGATGATTAGGAGAACCAGAGGCCAAGAGAGTCCGAGAAGATGCTCAGGAGGGGGCAGTTGCCTGACGACTGAGCAGTGCCATGGACTCGTGGGCTGAGAAGGAGGAGCCCAGTTCTCCTTGCCAGAGTGTGTATATATGTGCATGTCTTAGATCTAGATAGACTTGGGTCTGAACCCTTGAGCAAATTATGTGCCTAGTTAACCTCGGTATCCACATTGACAGAATGCACATAATAAGAGTGTTACTTTCCGAGAGTTTTGTGAGTGTAAAGTGCCTGGCATGGTTGGCACTCAGCAGACATACACTGTGTTACTACCTGGGGCTGGCAGGCCGGCCACGTGGTGCTCGGCTGCTCAGCCACCCGTCTGGAGAGGGACTGCTACATTTCTCAGCTGCCTTTGTTCCCATTGTAACAAGCTGGAATCTGCAGCAAGATGCCTCTCTTCCAGAGAGAAAACACCCAGAGAAGTTGCCCCTTCATAACCAAGCACATGATTTATTTTTCTCTTTAGGTTTCTGTGTTTTGACACCTGATTACATCCAGCTTCACACTCAGAGTTCTCTGTGTACCAAGCACTAATTATTTCATGTGTCCTGAAATAGAGACAACAAAATGCCACTTACTGCATTAATTGGGACTCGTTTTACCCCCCGGGACTCTTGTTCTGCACATAGTTTTTATTCTGTATTTGTTCATTAATTCAGCCATCCAGTCACCAGACATTGAGAGCTTGCTACATGCCAGGCACAGTGTGGGCACTTGGGTTCCAGAGGTAAGACCCCAACTCTGCCATGGCCTACAGGCCCTGGGGGACAGATAGGTGGCATCCCATGGGATAGCACCTTTGAGGGGCTGAGGGAGCAGATGAAGTGCTGAGGGGCCCCTGGGAGGCAGCTGCCCCTGGAGAGCCATCTGGCCTGAATTATAGGGCATGAGTGGGATTTCTCAAGGTGGCAAAGTGGGAGCCCATTTGGTGGTATGTGCTGATGAGGTGCTCGGATTTGGAGTGAATCTTCCCTGGGGTAAGAGGAGTAGCAGAAGGTGAAATGGGGGCTGGATGAGGTGGGCTCTGAATGCCAGGCCCAGGTGTCATTCTGTTGGATATCAAGCAGCAGTGGGAAAGCCGGGAGGTGAGACCAGGTACGGGGTAGCAACCCTGGGTGTGGGGATACCCATGGGAGGCAGGGATCACAGACTGTACCAGGTCTAAGGAGGGCCTGGCTGCACACATATTAGATGTCCCTGAATGATCATGGCAGGGACACCCATGACACCTGGCACCTTGGAGGGCTCCCTGTCTTCTCCCACTCTCACTGGGGGCAGTGTGTTCATTGTGAGGATCTGGCTTTGCTGCTGTTATTGTGGTGTTCAGGATGGTAAGATTTGCCTCTGTAAATCCAGCTTCTCAGTCCTTCAAAATTTTATCTCGCTTTATTTTAAAGAATATACTTATTTTACAAAACAGGACAGATTTTATGTGTTAACACAGTATACTCAATATAAAGAATAAAGTTTTTAACCAGGAACAACATGAATCACTGCTGTGGGCTGGGCTGGTGTGATGGCATTTCCCAGGAAGTGTCGTGGTCCTTTGCAAGGAAGTGTCCACTTTGGGTTGGAGCCCTCCTGCCCAAGAGACAAAGCTGGGCAGGAGCTTTGCTGGAGCAGCCGAGAGAGATGGTGTGAGGGATCCTGCACGGGGGACAGAGACTGCACATCTGATGTGAATGAGCAAGGGTTGTGCTAGAATTGGCTTATGGATGGCCTAGAGAAGGGGGCGACCCTTTCTCCATGGACAGCCCAGCAGTCATGCTCCACTGTGCGTTTTCTAATCTAGAGAGTAGGTCAGGAGCCAATAGCCCACAATCTCTGTGGGCTAAACAAGAGTAGTGCTGAGGTTTGTGAGGTGGCAGATTCACCTGGGGATTTCCTGGTGCTCATTGCTGTACACTGTGCATCATGCAGTAAGGGGGCAGGTGAGATTAGCACATGTGTCCTCAGGACGAGGGGCTTTGGGTTATCCTTTTCAATAAGGGCCCTGGGTTGTGATAGTGAAAGGAGGGGATGGGCAGTGTGTATAGGCTATGAACTCCTCAGCACTGAGCAGAGGGATCATGTATCCTTCTCCTACAATGCTGATGGGCAGCAGGAAATCAAGACCATGTTCTGAGATTCTACACATCAGACTCCTGTCTATTTCTGGCCCAATGTTGACCTAGGGACTTCAGAGAAGCCACGGCTCTTGGTGGGGTAGGAGTGGCCAGAAGCTGTAGCACACCAAGGGTTTGCCAAAGCACAATACAGGAAGCAAAGCCTTATCTAAACCAACTGACAAAAACTGGTGTCTTGAAGTAAATTTCGGGCAAAAGCATGGAGTGAGCTTGAGAATTACTTGCAAATTGTTACTGGGGCTCACTGAAATCACACAGAGCACAGGCTGATAACTGCAAGGGACCTGGAGAGAATCCAGAGAATCTGGTATGAGAGGAGCACAGACTGGCCATGGATTCTAGATGTTGGTTTTGGAATCTTTTGTCTATCCTTCATGTTGCTGCCATTAATGTAGGTGAATAGATCTTCTCAGGTAGTATGTGTCCAAGCAATGCCAATTAATCCCTTGGTTAGCTGCATCTAGTCCTGAGTTAAAAAGCCCTCTAGATAGACAGTTTTTCACCCACAGTCAAGATTATGGTACCTAGAGCAGGCAAAGCCTAGGGAGCTACTCTCTTATTCATGGAGATGACATATTCTCTCTAAGCATTGAGGTCTGCTCATGAGAAAGCCCTGCAGTTAGAGCACTGCGTGGGCAGTCAAGCATTTGCTTTTGTGCTCAGCCATTCAGGAGCTGAGGTCCCTTGGACAGGTTACTGTCCCTCTCTGGGTGACTGTTCACTCACCCATAAAATGGGGGCTGGAGTGGACTCAATGAGCTGCCTGGTCCTTACAGTTTTGAAACACTTTGATTCTAGACTTTGACTTCTTCCCTTTGGCCTAGCTTAGGTGCTTGGGACACTCTTAGCAGACCCAAGACACCTGCTGGTTCTCTCCGGTGGGGGTCTGTGTGGGAGACAGTGTCTAAGTCTACTTTCTTGGAGGGACATGAGTCTTTGGCAGATAATAGATGATTGTGTGGGCAGTTCCATATATTCTGGGGTGTATATCTTGTGGCTATGCTGTCTATTAGATGTAGAATGACTGGCTTGGCCCAGGTGTTCAGACTCCAAACCCCATGCTCTTCTGGCAGGAGAGCCTACCCCTAGGGAGAAGTGAGGTCTTGTGTAGGTCAGAGTGAAGTAGACAAACTTAGTGCAGTGGCTAAGTGAGGTAGGCCATCCAGGGTCAGTGCAGAGAGTTCTTGAGTTCTGGTTCATCATTTAATTCACCATTGACGTCTGGGGAATGGCTGGTGGGCCTGCCATGAGCCGTGTTTGCTGCAATTCCAGTGTGATTAGGAAGAGTCATTTTCTGTGCCTCCTGGCACAGGGTCTGGTCCACAGGTGGTGGAGATAAAACTCCCTTGGAAGGATGCTGTAATGGCCAATGTAGATGGTGGCAGATTATGCATCTTAAAATGTGATTGCAAAATCAATAAGCCAATTACAGCGGTTAAATCTTTGCCTTTTCGGAGCCGCCTGTGGAGCTGAGCTGCTTGCTGTGGCATCAGGTGGCTGTGTGGCCCTGACTGCAGGGATGGAAGGGTGAGAAGGCTGCATGCGGGGCTCTTCTCTCTCCTTTGGGAGCCCTGCCCTCATTGTGTGGACTCCTCAGTGGAAAAAACTGTTGCCAGGAACTCTTTTGCACTTATGCATTGGAGATGGGGGCAAGAGGTAAGGGATATTTTTTTTTTGAGTGCTTATGGTGACTTCATATATCACCATTACATCTTAACAACCCTGTGAGCTAAGTGTTGGCATCATCATTTCACACGGAAGGTGCATTGGTTTTCCTTGCTACACAGCAAACCTGCTCAAAACTCTGTGGCTTAAAAGAGCACATCACTGTCTATTTAGCTCACAATTCTACTGGCTGGTTCCTTCTGGTCTGGGCTGGGTCAGACTGATGCTGGTGGGTTGACTGGAGGCCTCTTGGTCCTGAGTGGCCTCATTCCGAAGTCTGGAAGTGAGCTGGCAGTTGGCCGGGATGTGGGGGTGACTCTATCTCTCACTGTGGCAGGAAAGCCCGGGCACATTCCCATGTCAGTGAAGGGTTCTAAGAGCATCAAAGATAGAAGCTGAAAGTCTTCATTTTAGGTCTAGACTCAGAGTGGGCACAATGTCACTTTTGTCACTTGCTATTGGTCAAAGCAAATGACTGGGGCTGCCCAGAATAGCGGGAGGGGCTGTCAAGGATGGTGGCCATTTTTGTAACCCACCACACAGAGAAGCTGAGCTTCTAAGACTTGAAGCAGCCTGCCCAGGGCATGCAGCTAGAATGGGAACCCACCTGAGGCACCTGGGTGGCTCAGTTGGTTAAGTGTCTGACTCTTGATTTCAGCTCGGTCATGGCCTCACGAACCATGAGATAGAGCCCTGTGTTGGGCTCTGTGCTGATAGCCTGGGGCCTTCTTGGGATTCACTCTCCCTCTCTCTCTGCCCCTCCCCCACTCATGCTTCCTAAACATACAAACAAACTTTAGAATGGGAACCCAGCCTGTGCTTTTCTAATACTGAATGTGGTGTTCAAGGAAACACAACTCTTAAAGAGAGAGCAATGCTCAACTCAGATAACTGAGAGTCTGCATTGTGGAATTTGAGGCAGCCATGGCTGATGGTGGGTAAGAGTTTTCAGATAGAGGGTGAGTTTTTAAATTGCTGAGTATGGAGAGCATCCAGAGTTGTGTGACTGCTGAGTCTTCCTTGGCTGTGACCCTGGTGGACTCCTGAGTAGAGGGCTTCTGTATGTGTTCTGTCCCCCATCACCCCTCTCTATCTCCTTCCTCCATGGCTCTGTTCTTATTCTTTTTTTGTGGTGTGGGAGGCATGTGTGTGTATATGTACCTTCCATCAGAAGCTATGCTTCATCTTTTTGGAAGTAATGGGATTTAAAAAGCAAATTCATAACAAATAGATTTCTGTTTGCAATGCACACAGCTGGTATTTACTTCCATATTTCGAAATAATATGCTGACACTGCTATTTCTTGACTAATCGATTTTAAACATTGTCTATGGACTGCAGTGGAAGATGGCAATTCAGCTCTGCATGGACTTCCTTGCATTGGCCCTTCTGCCATCCTTCGGTGTACTTTTTGTCACAACTTTTGGTTAAATCAATGGTCAGTGTTTCTGTTACTATGACAGTACATTTTGCTTACCGCTAAGTGAAGTAGACAATGATGATGTTTCCTGGACTTAACATGTGCATGTTTTCCTTTTATTTGGTTTTCCATGTACCTATGTTTATTTTTCCTAACCACTTTGCCAGATCAGTTCTATATGAACCAGTTTTATATTCCAAATAGTCAAACTGACATTCTATCAATTTCCTTTTCTCCCAGACCCTCCCACACGGGGTTTCTGGATCTTGGTTGCTCTCCAGATTCCCAAGCAGCCTGTCATCCTGGGGCTTACTTTGTATCATGCTCTGGATGGACTCCTGGGTCTCATGGCTTCCTTGCCTGCTTCACATCATCATTTTGCTGAAGCATGTCCTCTTAATAGTCCCCTAAGTTATGAAAAGAGTCCCTCTGTGTCTGAAAATATTTCTTCCAAGCAGACTCTGGGACATGGGTTTGTGTGAAGATGACTCATTAAGAAGATACTTCTAGGAGAAAGGGGGAGGGGGTGGGGAAGCAGGGCAAGGAGGAGGAAGCCAGGCCAAGTTTGATTTCAGCAGGAGTGCCAGTCACAGCCTTCCCAAGGAGCCCTGGGGTGAATACCACATCCCAGAGTTTGCCCTGCAAAAGGCAGCGGTGGGGTGTAGGGGAACCCTAGCTCTAGGCACTCTGTCTGGGCCTGAGGGTCGTCGTCTGGAGACCACTGTGGTGCATGCCACTGGGAGCCCAACACACAACAGTTGGTGGCATAGACCAGGAGAGGTTGGCTGAGGGATCAGGACCAACGTCATCAGGGCAGCTCTGCAGCTGTGTGGGCAGGGTCCAACATTCAATGCAGGAAATAGGGATCATTACAGGTGTTCACACCAGTGTTGGAAGGGCTAAAGAGACAATTTCTAGGTGAGTCTCCTTGGGATGATTTTCAGAATGATACAGAATGCTCACAAGGGAGCCATTCCCCCTAAGGAAGCCTCTGGTCTCCTGCAAGCTGAGGCATAGACCCTCAATTCTTCCAGGCAGCCTGAGTCATACAGAAAGAAACCACCTCTACCACTGCCATAGCTTGGTGTCCACACCTTCTTAACCAGGATTTCATGAAAATTGCCTCCCCCAACACAAAACCCACTTAATATATAGGACAGTGGCTGTAAACAAGTCTCAGAAATAGAGTTTTATCTATCTAATCTTTACGAATAGAAGGAGGGAAAACTGGAGGTTTAGAGAGCAATACGAATGCCATACAACTGGATATACACTTCTAGATTAAACAATTTTTTTCCCTGACAATTTTGAGAGCATTGCTCCATTATATTTGAATTCGTGGTTTCATTGTTGGAAAGTCTAATGCCATTCTAGTTCCCTTATGAGCAACTTTCTTTCTTTCTTTTTTTCCTCTCTATGGAAGCTTTGAGGATCTTCTCTTTCCCCCTGGCACCATAAGATGTTATGATGATGTATGTTGATGTGGGGTGTTTTTCTTTCATTTTGTGGGGTGCTCAGTGGACCCCTTCAATCTGAACCTTATGACCTGTGCTATGGACTAAAATTTGTTTCCCCCTGTCTGCATATTCCTATGTTAAACCTGACCCCCAATGGGATGGTATTAGGAGGTGGGGCCTTTGGGTGGTGCTTTGCTCATGAAAGGGAGTAGTCCTTAGAAAAGAGGCCCCAGAGATCTCCGTCAGTCCTCCACCATGTGGGGACACAGCGAGAGAGAAGACAGATGTCAGTGAATCAGGAAAAGGGCCCTTATGAGTTGTGGACCCTGTTGGTGCCGTGGTCTTGGACTTAGCCTCCAACACTGCAAGGGATAAGTATTTGCTGTTCATGGTATTCTTGTTCCAGTTACCTGAGCGGACTAAGATGACCTGTGAAATAGTTAATATCATCTCATTGATAGTTTCCCTCTCCTATGTTTTCATTTTCTAGATTGCAGATTTTCTGAATTGACCTTTTCAGTTTCTTGTCTTTCTCTGCTTTCCATCTCTTTCTGCACTAATTTTTGTCTTTTTGTTCTACTTATTTCAGCCATTACACTATTATTTGAATTTCTAAGAGTTCTTCATGCATCTGTTACTTTTCCCACAGAACCCTATTCTTGTTTTGTGCCTGCAGGATCTTTCTGATTTAAATTTTTTCCTCCTTTTTTTCTATTTTGATTTCATTTTCCCCATGTTAGAAGATTGCCTCAAATGTTTGGTGGTTGCTGGCTGCCAGTTCAGATTTAACAATGAAGCACTCAAAGCAAGTGGGGAGCCCTTGTGGTATGGGAGGGCCAGTCAACCAGAGGCTATGTGAGCAGCTGGCAATGAGAACTTATCAGTGGGGATCCCCAGATGTTGGACCTTGGGGTCTCTTTTCTGCACAATAATCCTGTCTACTTTCTTGGGGCCAGAGCCAGGAGTGGGTTAGGTGGTAGTTGTTCTGCTGTTTGAGTACAGACTTTCTCTTCTCCTCTGTTTCTCTTCTGCATCTCACGCCCATCCTCCATTGTGCTTGGGTCCCCCAGGCTGGAGCCTTCTGGCTTAGTTTCTCCAGAAGCAAACGTTTGATGTCCTGACTCACAGGCTTTCAGAAGTGCAGGAGGGCCCCTGAGCTTCTGGGACCCTTGGGGTTTCCTCCCCAGGCCAGCAGGGGTTATGTTTGCTGCACAATTACTGATGGTGCCCCTCTCACATTGTCCCATTGTGGCCCTCTCCCCACACTTCCTTCCAGCCTCCCGGTGTGCCCTGGAGGTTCCTATCCTGGGCCCCACGGGCTTGTTTGGGGCCAGCCAACTCCTTCCCTGGGCACTGCCTCTGTGCTTCCCTGAGGGTAGCTTCCTGGGTCCTCCTGGGGCTGGTACTCTCCTCCAGCCTTTTCCTAGATTCCAAAATGTTACTGCCATTTTGCATCTGCGTCTGTGCCCTCAGTTCTTATGGATTTATATATTTTAAAAAAATCCACTGATGTCATTTTAGTGGAGTGTTGTGAGCGAGAGCCAATGGTGGGTGTGATCAGACTCTACATTTACCTGCAGTCTGGAAGGGACTCCAGGGAAATGCACAGCCATTAGGAAGAAACATGGTGGCTGCCATACCTCTTGGGTAAGCTCTTTCCCCTGCCTCCTGTGGCAGCTTACATGTTTCCTGTGGAATTATTTTACACGTGGGGCTTGCTGGGTCTCTAGGCATTTGCAGTGCACAGGATGTTTATTGGTACCTTCCAGGGCCTGGCCGTGGGCTGGGGATGGGGCAGGACCATGGGAAAGTTCCTGCCCATGTGGGCTGACACTGGTGGGAAGACAGTCTTGGGTAGCAGGTGCCAGAGCAGGTCATACACTGGCTTAAGGGGAGAGCCATCTGAGAGCCTGCGTGGCATCTATGGCTCCCGGATAGACATGAATAGAGGTGTGAGGCCTAGAGCATGCCTTCAACAGTGCGATGTTTGAAGCTTTGTAAAAGACAAAGTGAAAAGAACATGCAAAGAAGCAGGCAAGCCCTCCCTTCCTTCTCCCCTCCCACCCACACTCCACAAAGACACTGTGGAGTACTTCCTACCTCCTCAGAAAACTCTGCAGCAGCACTGGGTGAACTCCTCAGGGCCAGTTCTAGTTCACGTGGTCCTGGAGTGCAACGAGGACTTTCTCTCACGGGGTCAGATTTGCATAAGTTATGACAAGCACATGCTGGTAGATCCTGTGTCTCTCTCCCCAGCATCTAATAAAGAAAAATTCAGTTCAAGGTAGATCTTTCTCTGCCCCAAGCAGACCAAGTGTGGTTCAATTGATTACTTGCACATTTGTGGTACATCCTCCCTGTGTTAGCTTTCTGTGCTGTGTAACCATTACCATGGACTGCGTGGCTGTACCAGCTCCCAGCTTTGTAAGTCAGAGGTTCAGCATGGTGCGACTGTGTTCTCTGCTCAGGGAATCATGAGGCTGACATACAAGGTTTGGCCAGGCTGAGTTTGCTTCTGGAGACTCTGGGGAAAAATCGCTCTCTTGTTCATTCCTTTTTTTTTTCCCTTGGACATATAAAATTATATATATTTAAGATGTACAACATGATGGTTTGGTATATTCATACATTGTGAAATGATCGCCACAATCAAGTTAACACATCCATTACATCATATAGTTATCGTGTGTGTGTGTGTGTGTGTGTGTATGTGTGTGTGTGCGTGCACACGTGTTTAGTTTTTTTTAATGAAAAATTTTTAAAATTTTATTTAAATCCAGGTTAGTTAACGTATACTGTAACAATGGTTTCAGAAGTAGAATTTAGTGATTCATCACCTACATATAACACCCAGTGTTCACCCCAATAGTGCCCTCCTCAGTGCCCATCCCCCATCTAGCCCATCCTCCCATCCCCCCACCTACCTCTCCTCCAGCAACCTTCAGTTTGTTCTCTGTGTTTAAGAGTCTTTTATGGTTTGCTTCCCTCTCTGTTTTTATCTTATTTTCCCCTCCCTTCCCCTATGTTCATCTGTTTTGTTTCTTAAATTCCACATATAAGTTAAGACATGATATTTGTCTTTCTATGACTGACTTATTTTACTTAGCATAATGGAACCCTCCAGTTCCATCTATGTTGTTGCAAATGGCAAGATTTCATTCTTTTTGATTGCCAAGTAATATTCCATTGTGTATGTGTATGTATGTATGTATGTATGTATGTGTATGTGTGTATGTATGTGTATATATATATATATATATATATACACACACACATTGTGTATATGTGGGAGAGCCATTTGAGAGCTTGCATGGCATCTATGGCCCCCCATATACATATGTATATATGGTATGTACACACACACACACACAGTGTGGTTAGGTTTAATTTGAGATCTATCCTCTTAGCAAATTTCAAATTTACAACACAGTATTGTTAACTATGGTCATCGGGCTACACGTTTCATCTCTAGGACTTACTGATCCTGCCCACATAACTTAAACTTTGTACCCTTGACCAGCATATCTCCATTTCCACCCACCACTAGCCCGTGACAACCTCCATTCTATTCTCTGCTTCTATGAGTTTGACTGTTTTAGATTCCACATATAAGTGAGATAATGCAGTATTTGTCTTCATGTATCTGGCTTATTTCGCTTAGTGTAATGTCTTCCAGCTCCATCCATGTTGTAACAAAGGTTATTTCCTTCTTTTTAAAGGCTGAATGATATTTCATTATATGTATGTACCACATTTCCCTTATCCATTTATCTAAGGACACATTAGATTGTTTCCATGTCTTAGTTATTGTGAATAATGCTGCAATGAATATGGGAGTGCAAATATCTTTTTGAAATCCTGATTTCAAGTCCTTTGAATATATGCCCAGAAATGGGGTTGCTGGATCATATTGTAGCTCATACTGTTTTCCATAATGGCTGTACTAATTTGTACACCAGTGTACAGAATTTCCTTTTCCCCACCTCCTCACCAACACTTATCTTTTATCCTTTTGGTAACAGCCATTGTAGCAGGTGCAAGCTGATAGCTCATTGATTTTGACTTGCATTTCCTGGTGATGAGTGATGCTGAACACTTTTTCACATACCTGTTGACCATTTGGATGGCTTCTTTCCAGAAGTGCCTATTTGGGGCTTTGCTTGCTAATTCATTTTGTTGGCAGCACTCAGCTCCTTGTGGTTGGAGGACTACATGCTCTGCTGGGGACTGCTCTTGGTTTCTAAAGGCCATGGGGCGCCTGGGTGGCTCAGTCGGTTAAGCGTCCGACTTCGGCCAGGTCACGATCTCGCGGTCCGTGAGTTTGAGCCCCGCGTCGGGCTCTGGGCTGATGGCTCGGAGCCTGGAGCCTGTTTCTGATTCTGTGTCTCCCTCTCTCTCTGCCCCTCCCCCGTTTATGCTCTGTCTCTCTCTGTCCCAAAAAATAAAATAAAAACCGTTGAAGAAAAAAAAAAATTTTAAAGGCCACCCGTAGTCTTGTCACATGCCTCCTTCCATCTTTAGGCCAGCAAAGGTGCATTAAGTCCTTCTTATGCTTGGAATCTCCCACTTCCTCTGCTGGTCACCAGCTGGAGAAAACTCTCCTTTTAAAAGGCTCATGTGATTAGGTTAAGTCCTAATAATTCCCCAATATTTTTAAAAAACAAATCTTAATGTTTATTTTTGAGGGAGAAAGTGACAGAGCTCAAGTGGGTGAGGGGCAGAGAGAGAGGGAGACACAGAGTCTGTAGCAAGCTCCAGGCTCTGAGATGTTAGCACAGAACCCAATGCGGGGCTGGAACTAATGAATCGTGAGATCATGACCTAAGCCAAAGTTGGATGCGTAACCGACTGAGCCACCCAGGTGCCCCAATAATTTCCCAGTCTTGAAGTCTGTTGTGCCAAGTGACATACCTAATTATGGAAGTAGCACCCATCACATACACAGGGTGTGTATGCACTGGGCTCCGTGTGGGGAAGGAGCCTGGGCTTGTCTCTTCATAACTGCACTCTGTCCAGGGACACGAGGCTGACACACACAAACTCAGTGTGTGGAGAGTGTTAGGAGAGCCACGCTCCGCTCCTGTCACTGTCAGTAACTAGCTGCCTCTCCCTGGGGCTCAGTTTGTAAGTGGCTATATTGGGATTGAGTGATGGGCTTTATCTTGTATGCCAAATCTGGCTGGTTGGCCATGGTGCTTGGGGTGCTTCTTGAGAGGCTTGTGAGGTTGGCCTTGACCCTGGCGGGGAAGAGGGTGGTGATTGGTGTCTTTCAAGGATACCCACGGGCCCTCCTGCCATCTCCTGACTGATCTTCGCACGCTTCCAGCTCATTTGTTCAGCACACATTTACTGACGCTCTCTTTCCCCAGCATTTCAGGCTGCCGAGTTCACACTGAGCTATCTGAGAGGATTTTTTTGCAGAAGAGAATAACGGGAACCCAAGACTGGGGCACTAGGGGATAAATGGAAGGCATGAACTTGTGTAAAACCTTCGAGCACGAAGGACTCTATTCTGGGGACAAAAGCTTCATCCTGTTTTGTTTTGTTTTTTCCTGAAACAGAAACTGCGTTGAACTATTGAACTGGGCAAAAGCATATGACTGAACACAGGACTGCTGCACCCACATTCTTGATAAAAATTGGACACTCTGCAAAAAATATTTTCCTAGTAACTGTCACAATGTACTCAGATAATTTTGTACATTGTAAAATGTAATTATATCTTCCACTCAGAATTTTTGGAAGACAACTGGTGCAAGTTTCTGGAGACTTCTGCAGTTTGCTAATAAAGACCCTGGGTGTTTACTGCTCCTCGACAGGATGAAGTTTGGGTTGCTGCCTGAATCTACGCTTCCCAAGTGGCGATTCTAAGACCCCAGATAAACTCTTTTGTCTTATTTGGGTAACTTCCTGTTTTCTTAGCCAAGAAAGGGAAGGAAGAAAATCGACATTCTGCCTGTTATCCCTCGACGCCTATTGCATGGGCCACCGAGTCACCTGCACCATGTCATGGGCTTCCTTTGCCAGGTTTGTGCCATGTCCTCCTGTAATAAATAAGAAAGCTGAGGTGCATTCAAATCACTTACACACACCGGAGCAGAGACAGAAGAAACCCTCACCCTTCTGACAGTTCTAAGTACTGGGGTGCTGCATCGACGGCAAGAGCAAGGACAGCAAGAGGAAGCCTCTCACATCCAGGTCCCCCTCCCCCGCCCCCAGCCTCCCTTCTTGACAGTCATTTTCCTACCAACTTGGCCATCCCACCTCAGGGGGCATGTAGCCTGGATGCTGTGATAAAACACCCTCTTTGCACCAAGGCAATTGAGAGCAGGGGGTCAAGGGCTGGTTGCTCCTGGGTTTGATTCCTAATCACTTTTTAAATCCCTCGTGCCTTGTGAAATAAACGTGATGGACTTTGGGGGCTGGTTTCTGAAGCCTTGTGAAGAGGAGAGGCCCAGGCAGCCTGCGGACAGCTAATTTGATCAGAGGTTGTGATTTCCTCCTCTTGCCTCTGTGTCCAGGGCAGATAAAATGGAAGGAGGGCAGAGATGCTTAATTAACCCTGTAATTCTTGCATGGGCTAATTAGCATATAGATGAGGGTGGCTTTCCAAGCCTGTCTCAGAGCTGTCTCCTGTCTGTGTGCAGAGCGCTGGGCTAGCCCCCACATTAACCAGTCACAGTCCTTCCCAAGTTCTGCCTAAAGGAGGCCCATGACCGTGGGGTGGTACAGGGAGATTGGGGGCCTCTTATGGACTTAGGAATTTTTAACACAATCTTTCAGCCAGTGCTTTGAGGACACTATGACCGGGGCTACTTGGGCTTCTCATTAGTTTGGCCTGGTTCTGGCATTCTGGACCCTCTGTGGTCGACTTCTACCCACCCTGGGGTCTCTGCCCTCTGACCTTGTCTTCCCAAGCTGAGAGTGTGGAGCCCAGCTGTGGCAGTTGCCCAGGAGGAGGGGTTGGACTCAACCATTTGCCCTGTCTTTCCCAGAGCTGCGTTGGTTATCTGTCCCCTCCCTTATCCAGTTGGTAGATTCAAGGCTTGGAGAGCCTTAGAAGCCCTCCTGGAATTTCCTCCCCACTAACTAGGCGTAGGCATGCCAAGCACAGCTATTCCCTTGGTTGGGGTGGGGTGGGGGTGGAGGGTTCCAGTCAGGGGTCTGACAAATGTGCTGTGTGGCTTAGTGTGCTGGGGGAGTGAGTGGGCCCAGGCAGGGTGGAAGTAGGACCATGGGCAAGCCCCTCTGGCCCTCCAACCCTTCCTGTGTCCACTCCTTGAGGGTCTGCCCCTGAAGCTCTCCAGTGTACCCTCACTCCCCACCTTGCAGCTCCAGAAGTCTACCTGCTGTAGCACGTGGGGCTGGAGGTTTGAAGAAAGAAAACATTCGCTTAACAAAGTCCAGGTTTGAATTTGATCTGGGCCAAGCCTGTGTCCTGATGCACACAGGTTCCACCGGGGTTCCTGATGACCCAGTCACATGGAGGGAGAAGGCACACAGGACAAAACGGCCAGGGCAGGGATGCAGGCCCAGCCTTGTCCCAACCGTCCCCATCCGTGAAATGGGGATGATGATACACACTTCACAGATTCAATTTCTGGTCTCACAAGAAGCACCTTGGAGGGTGGAGCCCTATCCGCATTTTACAGATAAGACTGTTGGGGCTCAGAGTGGCCATGTTTAGCTCAAGAGGCCAGAATTGGGAATAGAGCCTAGGGTAGCATGCAGACCAGTGGGACTCTGAGCTTCTGTTCCCCCCCCAGCGGGAGAGGGCAGAGGGCCTCCGTGTAGGGCATGTCAGGGTGTGCACATGTGTGTGCACATGTGTGTGCACGTGTGTGTGCATGTGTGTGTGTGTGCCTGTGTTAGCATGCATGGGGTCTGCTCAGCAGTTCTGTGGGGCTGCTGTGGTGGAACCAACACACAGGCCTGAGGAAAGGTCTGTTCATTCTATCACTTATCTTAGTGACAGTGGTGTGGGCAGAACTTGCGAGTAGCCAGAAATATTTTAAGAGAAAACATTTTTAAAGTTTATTTATTTATTTTGAGAGAGTGAGCGAGCGGGAAGAGGGGCAGGGAGAGGGGGAGAGAGAAAATCCCAAGCAGACCCCGGGCTGTCAGTGCAGAGCCCAATGCTGGGCTCGAACTCATAAACAGTGAGATCATGACCTGAGTTGAAACCAAGAGTTAAATGCTCAACTGACTGAGCCACCCAGGGGCCATAAGAGAAATTAAAAAAAATTTTTTTTAATGTTTATTCATTTTGGAGAGACAGAGAGTGTGAGTGGGGAGGGGCAGAGAGAGAGAGGGAAACACAGAATCTGAAGCTGGCTCCAGGCTCTGAGCTGTCATCACAGAGCCCGACGCAGGGCTTGAACTCATGGCAGCATCATGAGATCATGACCTGAGCCAAAGTCAGACGCTTAACTGACTAATCCACCCAGGTACCCCACTAATAAATTTTTTATTGAGATAATTGTAAATTCACTTGAAGTTGTGAGAAATAATAAGGTTCACTTGTACCCTTTACAGGGTTTCCTTTAATGGTAACATTACAAAATTATAGTATAATATCACACAGTACATGCTGATGTTGATACAACCATCTGATCTTATTTAGGTTTCCCCAGTTTTACTTTCATTCATTTGTGCATGTGTTTGTACATGGAGGTGTATGTGGGAGGAGTGGTTTGAAGGATGGGGCTGATCAAGGGGAGGATATGACCATGTGGGGCAGTAACACACCATAGGCTCAATGAGGTCGTGTTGAGACAGGGTTGCATGTGGGGGAACCCTTCCTAGCAGAAATCTGTGCAGAGGCTATGAGGTCCAGAGAGGGGTGTCACTACTCAGAAGGAGAGGAGGGCAGGACACCTTCTGGGAGAGAAGCAGGTGGGGCAGAGGGCTCATGTGTCCAGGTGGTGTCACTTAGCCACACCCCAGGCATGTCTGGGTCACAGAGTTGGGAAGTGCAGCAGGGGCATCGGGCTTTATGTTATAATTTTTTAAATGTTTATTTATTTATTTAAAAAATTTTTTTAACACTTATTTATTTTTGAGACAGAGAGAGACAGAGCATGAACAGGGGAGGGTCAGAGAGAAAGGGAGACACAGAATCTGAAACAGGTTCCAGGCTCTGAGCCGTCAGCACAGAGCCTGACGCAGGGCTTGAACTCACGAACCGTGAGATCATGACCTGAGCCGAAGTCGGACGCTGAACCGACTGAGCCACCCAGGCGCCCCAAATGTTTATTTTTTAAAGAGAGAGACACAGTGCGAGCAGGGGAGGGGCAGAGAGAGAGGGAGACACAGAATCCAAAGTAGGGTCCAGGTTTGGTGCTGTCAGCACAGAGCCCAATGAGGGGCTCCAACCCATGAAACAAACTGTGATATTGTGACCTGAGTGGAAGTCAGAAGCTTAATTGACTGAGCCACCCAGGTGCCCCTGGGCTTTATCTTATAAATAAAGAACAGCTACTGGGAGAGTTTCCATGAGATATGCAAAGCAGGCAGTCTCTAAATGGCTAAAACTTTGCTTGTTTGGGCTGCTTTTTTAAATAATTGGATGTGTGTAAATTGGAATTTGGTGCCTGAGGGCTTTTGACCTAATGGGTCTCAGCCACAGCTGGAGAAATAAACAACTCAGGGGCAATACATACTGGCCATCTTTGGCTTATTTATGAGTGTGTGTGTGTGTGTGTGTGTGTGTGTGTGTATGTGTGTGTAGGCCTGTGTTTATACAATTCTATCACTTGTGTAGTTTTATGTATCCACCAGCACAGTCAGGTTACTGAGCCATGTTAACAATCCAAAGTTCCCTCCTGTTAGCATTTTCTAATCCACTGCTAGCCACCACCTGCCCCACCCCCCAATCCCTGGCAACCACTAGTTTGTCCCCCATTTCTTAAGTGTTACTATTTCAAAAAAGTTATATGAAAGAAATTATATAATCCCTTTGAGACTGGCTTTTTTTTTCTCTCAGCATAATTCCCTGGAGATTGGGCTATTACAAATAAAGCTGCTGTGAACATTTGTGTAATTGTTTTTGTGAGAACACAAATTTTCATTTCTCTAGGATAGTGTCCAGAGTCCTGTGGCAATTGCATGTTTGCTTTTGCGAAGAAATTGCCAAACTGCTTTTCTGAGAGGCTCTATTGTTTGATGTGCCTGAAAGCGTGAGACATCTGGTGTCCCTGCATGCTCCCCTAGTATTTGGTGGTGTTACTATTTTTACCATACCCTCATTCTCATAGGTATATGATGATACCTCTTGTGGTTTCAATTTGCATTTCTCTAAGGGCTGCTGATGCTGTCTTTTCGTGGGCTTTTTCCCATCTGTATATCCTATTGAGTGAAATGTGTTCTCACGTCTTTTGCTCATCTTCAGACTGGATATATATATTTTTTTAATGTTGAGTTTTGATTATTCTTTATGTATTCTAGATACTAGTCCTTTTTTTCAGATATGTTGTTTGCAAATATATTCTCCAAGTCTGTAGCTTGTCATTTTTATCTTTTTTATGTGAGTATTCGCAGAACCAAAGTTTTACATTTTAATAAGGTCCAGTTTAGGAGCACCTGGGTGGCTCAGTTGAGCTTCTGACTTCGGCTCAGGTCATGATCTCACAGCTTGTGGGTTCAAGCCCCGTGTTGGGCTCTGTGTTGACAGCTCAGAGTGTGGAGCCTGCTTGGGATCTGTGTCTCCTTCTCTTTCTTCCCCTCCCCTGTTCACATACTCTTTCTTTCTCTCTCTCTCTCTCAAAAATAAGTAAACATTAAAAAAAAAATAAGGTCCAGCTTATTAAAATTTCCTCTTAAAGATGATGCTTTTGGTATCAAGTCAAAGGACTCTTTGCCTAGCACTGATCCTGAAGAGTTTTCCTTATTTGTTTATTTTTTCCTGAAAGTTTTATAGTACTATGTTTTGCATTTAAGTCTATGATTCATTTTGGATGAACTTTTTTTTGTGTGTGTGTCAGATATGAGGTTTTAGGTTTTGTTTTTTATTTTTGAAAAGGCTATTCTTCTATCTAATTGGTTTTGCACTTTTGTTGAAAATTATTGGACATATTTAATTCTACTCTGTGTTCTCTGTTCTATTCCATTGATCTATGTATTCGTTTCTCTACCAATGCCACATTTACTGTAGCCTTAATATTAGATAGATTATTCCCACTTAATTTTTTTTTATCTCAATGTTGTTTACTATGCTAGTTCCTGTGCCTTTCCCTATACATTTTAGAATAAGTTTCTCTATGTCTATAAAAAACCTTATGGGCATCACATTAAATCTATCAATCAATTTGAAGGAGAGTTGATATCTCACTATTTTGAGTCTTCAAATCCATGGAGTATCCAAGAAGTGTAATATCTCTCCTTTCATTTAAGTCTTCCTTGATTGTTTTCATCAGCATT